ATTCCTCTTTCACAGCTTTTCACGTTTATTTTCATATACAAAGCAATATGTGGGTGTATAATATACATATAATGTGTGTATATATATCATAATCATGGAGATACTCATAATCCTAAACAAAGTTGAATGAAACAAACCTTTAATACAATCTTCATTGATTCTGCATCTTCTTTTCATTCGTGAAATTACTTCTGTGTTTGCCAGCCACATGAATCGCAGAACCTGCAAGCATGGTGGTTGTTTTATAAATTATGCTTCCCTCACCTTATCTTCGTAATAAAGCAACAGATAGTTATATTCTATTTATGTCTTAGCCAGACTTGTTTGTAATGCGATCAAAGAACATTTCATGGAATTTGTAGTGGTGCTTTTCCTCTCAAGACCACATGTACCTAAGCTGTGTTTTTGAAAAGAAAGATCTAATTTGTCACTATTATTTCCAGTAGGACTTCATAGATGAAGTATGTTTTCACATCTCAGTGTAGCAATACTCACTCAACTTTCTTTTCCTCTTGCAAGTGTTTCCCTGTGGTTACACTTACTCATTTGCTGAAAAATCTTTCCTGTTTTGTTAGTATTTCCAGCTATGCTTTCCTCACTGCTCTTCATATATTTAAAAAAACAGACCTTTAAACTGATTGTTTTAACTAAGACATTATCACCCCAAAATTGCAAATCAAACATATACAAACTTGAGTGTAAAAATAATGTTCTCTTCAAACAACAACTTTTAGATTAGTAGTCCTATTAAACAAGCAACAGTTTTCTAACCTAACAAGCAATATCAATACAGTACTCTCAAAACCAAATTTTCTAGAACTATGCTTATTCAAATCAGTTTGATGTACTTCCTTCATACAATAATATGGCATTGTTAGAATTTTATTATTTCTCATTCTGAGTAATACCTTATTCCATAACTACTTTACTATAAAATGAATACAAGTATTAAGTAAGGGACTATTTCAGGATCTGCACTCTATTATACAGTCAACAGGACACATCTTCAGAAAGCAGTGGTGAGTTAACTTTTGTTTTACATAGTTTTTAATATTCCTTCTTTTGTTATGGATCATTTTCATGTAGATAATTTTTACAAAATTAGTTGCAGTTGATTCATTCTAACATAAAACTTACTGCTACTACCGTGCAACACACTCATCGTCAGTGTAACTGGTTTAGAGATTCCAAATTTCCTCTGCTTTCTAATCCTTGTCTGTAACGTCATCCTCATACTCAGTAAATTAATCTGACAAATAAGGTGGTTTTTAATAGGCTCAAAATTATGCAAAGTCCTGCTCATAACGACACTAGTTAAAAACTTTTAGGCACTATAAATTACATTCTCAGCCACACCTCAAATAATTTTCTAGTAACTTGCTATTATTACTGTTATTGCAAATTACTGTAGGTATCAGAAGAGTCCTCAGAATCGTATTTTTCACATCTAAATTGAAAAGTTCTGAACTTCACTATTTAAGTTTTATCATGTACTTGGAATTCCTTTTATTGCAATCCAAAGAATTCAGATTATCTATAGAACATTTACTATAGCTAATATGTAGGTAACTACTCTTCAGTAAGCATTATCTTTTATTTAATATTTCTGCTATAACAAAGCATGATGTGCAGAATTTCTCCTGACTTTATGGATGTCAATATTTTAGTTGTTTGGGTTTCGGTTTGGTTTGGTTTGTTGGTTCAGATTTTTTGTTTTTGTTTTGTTTTGTTTTACTTTAACTGCTTATATTACTTTCAATACAAAGCATTCTTTCCATTAGCATTTCTCTTTATCTGCAAAAAAATCGAAAACCTTCTGCCATACTATTCATGACTGCAACATGTTTGCTTTCATTCAGATGGTCTTTTTAAGTTAGCATTCCTATATTGAACAAGTACCGTTAAGTCCACATTTTTACAGGAATGTTTATCTCTATCCATAATTATTATTATTCCATTGATGTAGGAGGCAAGGTACTCTGATTCTATGAAGGCATGTGTGTCATAAAAAACTTAGAATGCTGTCACTGTATTGTTAAGTTTCTCATCTGGTTTACTGAAAGTGCTAAAATAGCAGATCCATCCAGTGTCTAGAAGTAAATATATTCTTGAATATATACAGTCATGCTTAAGGCAGTACTTTAGGCAAACAGATGCACAAATGAGAGAAAAATGGATCAGTATTGAATCATAAGTTAGGAGAGTTCAGTGCAGAAAGGAACTGGAAATTTAGGTTAACAAAAGGAGCAAAAAAAAAAAAAAAAGGGAGAAGACACAGAACTCAAGAGAAGGAGAGGACTTTAACAGGTATAAATCAAGAAAATATTATCATAGGGAGGAAGAGAATAATTTCATATTTTAATAAGTTAGACTTTACCAGTACACAACTTTGTAAGTCTATCTCACTTTTTGTGAGCCATGTAGCACTCAATTTTTAAAATAAAGACTAATGCTATATTTTGTTAAATGTCTTTAATACGGATTTTATATTCTTCACATTTGATTTTACATTTCTACAAACACCTTTAAATTATAAGTACGTTAGGAAACCAGCACATTTTATATGAAGATGGAAGAACAATACTTCTTTACTATTCAAAACCATTAAAAATTCCATGAGTGCCATGTTCTTCTTTTTCTATGTCTTCACTACAGTACTATCTCTCACAGAAAATACGGGTATCAGCATCAAAGGAAAGGTTCAGCAATCTTCCATATCAGAAGTTAGGACAATACTCTCAACATGGAAGGCAGGATGGTCAGAGAGGTAGCAAGCGAAAAGCTTCAGAAGGAATGGTAGCTAAAAAGAGTCAGGAAAAAGAAAAAAAGAAAAAGAAAAGGAAATATAAGATAACAAATTGAAAAGATCAGGAAACAACAAAATACACAGGAAATAGCAACAATTGTGCTTATTCATTTTAGAAACAGTACAGAAGAACACTGACAGAAAAGGTGAGGAATAAGGCAGCCATTCTTAAAGAGTTCTTCAGAGAAGACCTAGTATGGTATGAAATGCTCTGTTATTCCTCTCTTAAGGTGACATGCCACTCTTAACTTTTAGTTTGAGCTAGTCAATTCAAAATAGGATTCCTGTGAAGTCAGTAGACTGAAACAGGCACCTCCAGAGGGCGATTCATCCCATCCTAAGGTCTGAATCTTAGACTCTGAATCATGTATTTGAAATGTAATTAATTTTGTGATGTTCACTAGGTATTTGTGAACCTAGCAGTATATATTTAAGCTTAATTCTATGGATAACAACATGTGTATTAAAATAATATGAGAAACAATATATTTTCAAATTCCTTTACTCTGAACAAAGCAAATTTACTAATGACTTTCATCTGCATAGAATAATATGCAGATATTTTTTATTACTGAACATTACTCATGTTCACTATACTGAGCACAAAAATTAAGTCTGACCCATAAAAAAGAAAGCTTGCTTTTCTATTAGGACTAATTAGGTAATCCTGGGACTTTATCTGCTGTAAGTAAAAATTAAAGCTCAACGTCACTAGGATTCTCTATTACCAGCATTAAGACCTGATACACGCAATATCACATTTAACTCATACTTACAATAGCACTGCTGATATTGCAATAATTTGTTACTAAATACAGTAAATACTGTTGTGAAAAAAATCCACTGAAATCCTCTGTCATGGTCATTGACACTTATAACGGTTGTTTTAAAAGAACTATAATTAAATACAAGAGTCATGGGTGAAGGGCTGGTTTCAAAGTCCATAAATAGCCCAGTCTCTGTTCAGGAAGCTTCAGTATGGAGAAGGCCTATGGGGACAACCTGTTCATACCACCTTCACCAGCTTGCCAGCCCAGACACAAAACCAAGACTCTGCTCTTACAGAACTGCAATACGAAAGCTTAAATAACCAGAGAAGAGGATGGAAAAGGGACGCTTTCATCCTGGGCACTGATGTGGGGCTGGAATATACACCAAAGGGACAGTTCACAATCTGCACTCCCTTGTTAGTATGAAAAGTCTGACAGAAATAATCCTGGGACTCTGCAATTCATACCTCACTGGAGACCTATGCGTACAATAGTCTTCCACTAATGACTATTTCAGAATACAGTCATCCTGATACTGCCTATTACATGAGGACAACACAGAGTTGCCAGTTACAATGCAATTAAAGACATCTTTAAAATCTAAAATCTAAATATCACACTTGAAATGTGATTTTGTACTGAAGAATTTACATAATCTAAACAATTCCAGAGTCATGTAACAAAATAGTGTAACACTAACGCAAAACAGCAAGGTCTAATTATAAAGTATGGCACGAAGCCGCTGTTTAGAAGTTCAAAAAGTTGTATCTGTATTTAATTTCATTTTCATTTTAGAGGGACCATAAAGAGGACAGCTATGTCAGTTTCTGAGTATTCATATATTCACTGGGTGCTCTTAAAAACTGTTGCCCAGTGAGTGATGCACACTGGACAGGAAAGGGAACCCTATCAGACAGCAATTTATAGCTTAATTCTTATGCAGATCTCTCTATTAGCAGAAATTCATACACCCCCTTCCAAAAAGTACACACTACCTCATTTGTGAATTGGCACCATAAGGCCTCTCCTTGCTCTACCCATTTTCACTCTTTCAGTCCCCAGAATGAGGATAGAAATGGGGCAGCTTTAGAGGGGATACTACTCTGCTCTACATTGGCTCAGGGTTCAGTTACCTTGAAGTGTTGCTCAGGTGGAAAGTTAAGGCATCTTATATTCACCAAGTGAATATAAGAAAACAGGAGGTCCCTATCTCTGTATTTAAAAACAAGTTTTTAGCATGGTAATTCATGAAGACCAGTTATAGTTACTATGTAAATATTACTTGCTTAGTTTTAAGAGTACATAATTTCCCTAAACAGTTACTGCATTATAATACCATATATACTCCTGGGTATCATACATGAACAAATTATTTAATTTAAACATTTCTTTCCCATTTCCTAATTTATTTTCTCTTATTACAGCTTATGGATAAAATCCACACACTGATGTCTAACCTGTAATGAAAGCTGATGTAAGTAATCCATTGTTTTACAGCTGTATTTGCTGATAAATTAATTGACTTTACCTAGTTCTGTAGAATAATGGTTAACAGTTTTGATTTTCAATTTCAGCATTATTACAATTAAGTTTTGCATGCAAATTTTGCCACTCTTAAGGGTTACTGCCAGCATACCTGCCAGTGCCCTGCCCCAAATCGTACTGAATAGAATTAACAGAAATATATGTAAAAAACTGGCTTTGATTTTTTGATGTCCAACAGTAGGGTTTTTAAGAGCTAACATTGGGTAGTCCTCTTTTTCAATGCATTTTGTGACTCAGATTAGCTCTGAGTGTCAATTTAAAGCCTTCTTTAGAAGCAAAAATGCACAGAGAGTAAAATACAGCTCAGCAGAGCAGTTATGTCAGAAAGGTGAAGTCTCAGACTGTTTTCCATGCAAGCATAAAGGATGATACATGTCTGAGTACTAAACACAAACTACTAATGTAAATACTTACCTGACTCTTCCCTTCTCACCCTGTTATTTCTCCTATGCTCGTTACATTGTTTTTCATCTTTCCCTTCCTTCTGCAAAGGAAAAGAATTTCCTCTTCTCTGTTTAAGTTTCTTCCTTTCACATCTGCTTTTTCCTACCCACCTGCACAATTTCTGAAATTCCCAAATTTAAAAGGGCTATGGATCCAATCCTGGGGTGAAATACCAAGTCCTGAAGTTTTTAGAATGGCTGAAGATCAGTGACTTGAATTTTAAATTTTTGTGTTCTCTCATTTTCAACAATGATATAAAATCACCAGAATAAAGTTTAGCAATGAAAACATATTTAGATAACTGTAATCTTAGAATGAGATCACCATTCTGTGAAGAGCTCTGCTCATACAGCAAAACATGATTTTTACCAATTTGGAAGTATATTATTATCTCTGATACTTTATGCTTAGCTGTTATGAGAAGCCCACGTACACTTTTCTCCTTTAGTAGCCATTTTAAGTGATGCACTGAATGCTTCAACAAATGAAATGATTCATGTCTTTAAATACTTTACAACCAGCTTGTGATAAGATATTTAGGAGATAAAAATAGTTAAAGTTAAGCCTAGCATATTGTATATAAATGTAAATATTTTTTTCTCCTGTAGCAGTTCATAAACAACATTTATTACTTGTATCCATGACATACATTTTTAGATGCCAGCTCTTCTAAACACAGAATCCATCTTCACAAGATTTTTTTCCAAGTAACTTAATAGCCATTATATCAGATGTTGTTTCACACATAGTATCAACATTTGATGTTTTACTGACATGATAACAGAAAGTCAGCCTAGTATAAGTTACTTTGTAGAGGATAGTGGCAAAACTTCAAGGCATTACCTCTCAGGAATCAAGAACTCCTGCGATCTTGAAAGATAAAATGATATATGACAAGAAAAAAAGAGTAGAGTCAGTTTTTAGGGATCAACATTGACTAACTGAAAGAGGGATCTCTATATCCACTGTAAAAATCTGCCTAAGAAGGAAGCACCAAAATAGTTTACCATTAAAATGCACCCTCTAACAAATGAAGTATGCTTTATTTTATTACTCTTATGGTGATTTTGCTGCCTAACCTGTCTGTATTGTTAGATGCTGAGAGACTTACTAATTAATAACTGGATCTGAAACTTTTACAGAAATGATGCTTCTGCCTAGCTGAGTTTAGTCAAGGACATAAGTATGCAATCATGTATTAAGAAGGAAAGCTTAAATAAAAGCTTAAGGCTTATGAAAAGCTCTGTGGCAAAAAATAAAAAATAAAAATGCTGCATTAAAAAAAACACCCTTGCATTTAGGGTTGCCCTAAGACACTGGCTTTCAGTCTTTCTGCCGACTCTTTAGTCTTTGTGAACAACTTCTAAGGGAGTGCAAAATAATAATAAAGCAAAGCAATCGTCCAGTGATTCAACTGGTGATTCAACTTATCACCAGTAGGTGCAATCACCCACTGATTAGTTAATTTATTTTTAGGAAGGTCACAGATCACAGAAAAAGGCAAATCAAAGGGACCATGCTTTAGAAATCTGAGCTTTCTTTCTGCTGTTTAGCAAGACAAGCATTATCCAAAATAATTCATCATCATCTGGAAAAAAACACATTCTAATGAGTACTACACAGAAAGGGTAAAAAAAGAAAAAAAAAAAAAAAAAGAAAAGAAAATACCAGTTCACCTATGATCAGCAGATTTCAAATGACAGGACGTGTTCCCCTTGGAGAATATGCAAAGTGTATATTGGAAAGGAGAGACATTTTGCACCCAGCACTTTCACAGCATCGCACTCGAATCCCTTTTACCTCAGCACTCATGAGGCGGCACCTCAAATACTTTGTTCAGTTTTGGGCCCTTCACTACGAGAGATATATTGAGGTGCTGGAGCAGGTCCAAAGACAGGCAACAGAGTTGGTGAAGTGGCTGAGAGGACTGGCGTTGTTTAGCATGGAGAAAAGGAGGTTCAGGGGACACCTTACTGCTCTCTACAACTATTTGAAAGGACATTGTAGTGAAGTAGGTGTCAGTCTCTTCTCCCAAGTAGTAAATGGCAGGACAACAGAAAACGGCCTCAAGTTTTGCCAGGGGAGGTTTAGATTGGATATAAGGAAGAATGTCTTCATCAAAAGGGTTGTCAAGCATCGAACCAGGCTGCCCAGAGTGTTGAAAAGACGTGTAAATGTGGCATTTTGGAACATGGTTTAGTGGTGCACTTGGTAGTGTTAGGTTTGTGGTTGGCCTTGATGATCTTAAGAGGCCTTTCCAACCTAAATGGTTCTGTGATTCTATTCTGTGATTCATTTGTCTGCCTGCACGTGCCGTGGAGAACCCATAGGCTAGAGACAGAAAAAAATGTAGTGGAACAGAAGAGAGGCTTTAGATGGGGGGGATTTCTGGGACCATTTGTACTTTTGTGTGTAACTGTTCACACAGTAAACAGGAAAGTAGGTTTTCCAATTAAAAGGGTCATGTGCAGGAACTGGAGAAGAAGCTGGGGTTCCGGAAGACACAGGGAAGGGTGTAGCTAGGGCAAGTATAGCATGAGCTAGATTCAGCTAGAGAGCTTTAGCCATGTTATGTTGTTAAGTGACTTCCAACTAACCCTAATATGTTTATCCAATTGTGACCTCTCCAGCTCTTACAGAAACTCTGTTCTGACTCCTGAATTCTTCATTCACAACACACTCATCTCTCTCCTACCTATACACCCATCACTGCTTCTCTATGCATGTGCCTTGCATAGGCACATGAATCTCTCCCTCCTGTCACTTGCAAATGACACAAGAAATAACCTTTTTCCTTACTACAGCAGAAGGCACTCTCTCCTCCGTTACATGGTCTTTTCTGATACAAGGCAAAGATTCCCCTCCATCTCATATTCTGCTAGCAGCTTAAGCCTGAGCAAAGACAATTTCAGAATCATACAAGTTAGCAACAGGTATTCAGCAAGATAACATAAAAACATCCGCAAATGTTTTCCATTACATTTTCCATATGTATCAAAACACGTAAGAAACACAGAACAAAAAGTTTACACAGAGCCTGCCAACTTTCTTTAGTTCCTTTTAAAGCACTATTGCCAGTAACATTTGTTTCCAGTATTTTGTTTGAATTCCATAAAATACACTACAGTACTATTAGATTAGACAAACTGGTTTCAAGATAAACATATTTATACCATTTGAATTAGGCTTATAATTTGGCATTTCTCTAATTTGACATCATCATAATTCCTAACATAAAGAAGTGCAGAATGCTGGAAAAGACAAAATCTTCACAATTTAGTTATGGATGTGCTTGCATTGTACTCAAGACAATGGGAAGTAACCTATGTCAAGAGCAAGAAAAAGCACTGATAATAGAAATACTATATGAGTTTGGAAAAGTTTCACTAAGAAAAAAAAGTAGTAAGAGGCCTGATATGAGGATAAAGAAGATTTCTACAACATAAAATTACCATTCAGGGAGCTGACATAAAATAAAAGAAGTTGGTCAAACAGAATTGGGATTTCATTTAAAAATAATAAACAGATATTGTAATTAGACATGCTAATACTTGAAAGGAAAGTTTATGTTAATAATGACAGAACAGAAAATGTAAAAATCTCTTTTTCTGGTGATAAGAAACCAGGTATTAATTCAAAGACATATATGTTTTAAACTAGTGGAGTTGACAAGTTTAATCTTTACCTGCAGAGGACCTAAGACTTGAAAAACTATACTCCTCACAAAACTGAAACCACTATGCATGAGTATTTATGAATATAAAAAGTAGGTGTAGCAAATACTTTTAGTGATACTTAAGAACAACAAAATGATTGATAACCCCACAATCCTGTTTCTGGGGAGGGCCTGGTGGGGACAGAAGTGTTAATGCTACCAGACTGCTCTTCCGGCTCCTTTCTGGGAACCTCTTGCTGTTGCTGGTGGAGAGCCATGCAACCTATCTAAAGCTAAGAAAGCAGGGGGTGCTCTTTACCTTTTCACACACTCCAGAACAGTGGTTCCCATATTTCTGGAACAACAGATCGTTACCAGCCCTTAGCATTTTTCAAAACGTATCACACACCCATCTGATCAAGCTTTTAACTGGAAACACTATTTAAAACACTGTTAGCTATGGTTTAGGCAAGCAGCTGTTCAACTTACCACAGCCTTGTAGTCCACCAGGGGTTTGTGGGCCACAGCTTGGAAACCATTCCAGCTGTTTCAAAGGCACAATGATGTATGTCTTCTACTCCATCCCTCCCTCCAGACCTTCTGGTTGCTGTGTGAAACATTTCTACTTCTTTATCTGGTTCTTCCTGGGATTAATTTTATGGCCTACTACTGTGTTTAGCCTTCTGAAGTAGTAGCAAACTGGCATTCTTCATTGCCCACATTTCTGCAAACAACAGAAGTGAAATTGATCTATCTGCCCATCTATAATATTGCCACTGCCAGAAAAAGAACAAACAGAAGCTGAGGATAGAAAAATACCTGCAGAGCAT